CCCCAAAACCCCAAAACCCCAAAACCCCACAAATCCTAATCCTGATTAAGAAGTTGCTTGAATAAATTTAGAAAATATACTAATTACCTCATTTGATTTTTGATTGTCGACAAATTTAATAGCAATGATCAATTTAAAATCGATCATTTTAAATAATTCACTACTATTGAGATTTATCATTGCATTCTCCATATATTTCATCACATTTTTAAGGACATTTCTTTTTCCTATATCTCGTTAATGACTTTCTCCAAAAATACCACTCTCTCAACCTCTGCCTTCGCATCATCGTAGTTTTTTTGCTCGAACAATTATTTTAAGCTTGTCAACTTAACATCTAATTCAGTTTTTACTTCAGAATGTATTTCTTTAAGTTCATCTATGTTTTCACATTGATCTACATCCATTCTTATCGAGAATATGATTTCAATGAATTCCATATCGAATGTCTATTCATCTTCGGACATTACATTCACACCCTTAAGCTTTAGGAGATAAATGGCTCTCTACAAATCATTTATCAAGGTGAAATAAGCATTATTGGCAAATGAAGATAATTCTGTTGAGTTCTCTTAGAGTTAATCTGCGGCCAGTGAAAATTTATCTGGGTGAATAAACTTCTGATATTATTTATAGTGCTAGTTAAGTTCATTAAGATCTACGTTGTATTGCTAGGGAAGACAAAAGAATTAAAAGTAATCTACTCTTTTTAGTTAAGAGATGTCTTCAAGGTACTTGCATGGGTTACAGGAATGCTATCAATGCTTGTAATAACAAAAATTACAATCTGTTTTCTCTTTATTGTCTGTTTAATGATACCTCATTTGAACCTTTATTGTTTATCTATTCATTATCTAATTCATTTTAGTCATTTAGAGACTCCTTGCGATTCCCCTAGTTGAAATGAATTATTTTTTCAAGGCATTTATAAATATCGTATTCATGTTAAATATATTTTTATGACTATAATAAATGTATAATTTCTCACTGAAAACATCATAATATGTAGCCTATGGGGTTTTGGGGTTTTGGGGAATCGCAAGGAGTC